TTAATCAACCAAAAAAAAAAAAAAAATGATGATGATGAACATTCTTACATTGTTGGCAAATATCCTGAGATCCAGAGTGACAGTGAACATCACAGGGAGCGCCCTAAAAGCACAAAGACAGAAGAGAGAATGCTACTTTCTGAATGACGACCTTTTGCTTCCGGTGTTTATGCTAATCTGACCCCATATATACAGAAATACTGAAAAGGTTGGCTTCAACATTTACGAATGCAGGCCCTGACCATTTTCCAAGTAGATCAGGGACGGGGTTGGGGGCGTACTCTAAACACAACCCACACAACAAAATAATTGGTCAGGTTCATCTTTTTATAAACATTTGACAATTGGGCTTTGATTAACATGGATGGGAAGGCCCAATGTAGATGCCACTTACCAGTTCTCCTCTTTGTGGGACTGAAACGCCCTCAAAAAGGATGTGAGAAGTCAAGGAGGCAACAGGGAGTGCTGACGTGCACTGTAATCATAATTTATTATTGATTGAGTGCTGATGGCATTATAAAGGATATTGGACGACAATGGTCTGGAACTTGTAGGCTTCTACAAAGTCGTGATTGGCAACTGCATATGTACATCTGGCAAACAAGAAATAGGGCTGTGAGATACAGACTCTGATCACTTCTCAATACACTATGAACACAATATCCCACTCCACCTGAGATGAGCAGCCACCATCTCGTCATATGGCGGCTCCAGAACCTGTTGACATTTGTCCTCTGGATTGGCCAACTGAAACAGGCACACAAATCTAGATCTGAGCAACAATGAATGGACATCTATTTAAGGTTTATTACTCATGAATTAACTTTTTTCTTTTTGCTTCGAATTGGGAACAAAAATGTAAGATATGAGTATGACCTGGTGGCAGCGAACTCAACTCACTTCACAACAAGCAGCCGTTTCACATATAGTGAACCAATCATAAAAAAGAAAAAAAAAGTCTTAAAGAAATTTAATGCCACTCCCAGTTGAAGTTTACTTTCAAAGTAAAAATAAAACAAAGAGAATTAAACATTGTGCATTTAAACACATAACTTTACCTTGGGAAAGTCTGCTAGATGAATACAAACACCCAATAAAAACGACATAGGGTGGCTAACAAATAGCATCAATGTCACTGTTTTACAAAGGGTGGGGAAAAAACATGTTGTGGATAGGCAGTATAAGAATACTCACAAGCATATATGCTTTATCCTATGCAAAACATGACGAATAAATATTACCATTATGGCATCTTACTGAGTCAGTTGTGAAACTCTTCATCTGTGTCTCTATACTGTATCTGACTATGTATAGGTATTGAAGTGGGTGGAGCCACACCTGGAGCCGAGGGTTGGCTACGTGGGGGTGTTTAAAGGAAAGCAGCTCAGCGCAGACTGTCCCCTTCTGGTTTTCAATGGCTTCATATGCCTGCACGAGGACAAGAAGCCTGTTGAGCTGATGAACATCTCCAGGAATATACAGTACTTTGGTCTATTTTCACGTTGATGACGTCAGACATCACCTGCTGCAGGTACTGGTTGATGGTGATGTGAGCCATGATGTATTCGTCCCAGCGGCAACTTCTCCCTACGAAGAATCATGGTTAAAAACGCAAACTATGAGAACCAAAATTGTACGTACGATAAATCGTTGAAAGCGTAGCGAGTTGTGCACGGTGGGGCTATGGCAACCGCAACGAGATATGACAAACGGACAGCTCAGTCTGAGTTTCTTTAGGGTTGAAGCAGTGGAACACTTATTTTGCATGTACGCGAATTAATCAGAATATTGTAGAATATTGGAGAGAAAAAGTTAAGAACGCGTCATCTTTTGTCCCCCACAAAAGTAGCAGCGAAATTAACACTTCATCTGACTGTTTCTAGTGGAATATAAACAAATTACACTCGGTTTTGATGATGTAAATTCGATATTCATATCGACATTGACTATGTATAAGAACGTACCTTTGTTCCAACTTTGTATCCCACGAAATAAGCATTCGAATTAAGTGACAGTGGAATTTACATCCGGGTCATAATTTTCTTCAAATTAACTTCCGGTACAAAATTCTTCTCTCTTGCTCATGCTTGGCATACTGGATACATTTTGGCGCATTGCTGCCCCCTATCAGCCTACCCTTTTACATTAGCAAAACCTGAAAAAAAAATTCATACAAAGTGGCGAAACGGGTAAATTATATTATTTAGGTTATCGAGCAAATGGAAGAAGATTTATTTGTTGTGTCTGTCACTTTATGTTCCCTGAAAATAATCAACAAAACCAAATAAGTGCGATATAGTACTGTGAATTAAAAACCAAAAAATCAACTATACCATATTGTCACAAGTGGTTTCGGCCTGACGGCAGTGAACTATGCGTGTTGCGTCATACTGCACAGTGTCATTCACATATGAACAATGACTACATGAGTATGATTGTGGTCTATTTTAGCCTTTCTTTGCGGTTGTTCCTTCCCCTTAAAACCTTAAATTCGTTTTGCTCTTTCATTTTGATAAACTATTTTGAGTTCTTGAAAGTCCTCTAGTCTGATTCCAATTGGAAGGCATCACTGTGGCAAATGCACAAGAGCTTGAGCTGTATCAAGTAAAAAAAAAAAAAAACATACACCAACAAATTGAGGACATTACATAAGTTATTGAATTTTATTTATCATTATGTATTAATACACATGAACATGGCAACGTGCTGTGCATCAGCTAAACCAGTTTCAACAATCAAGACAAACAGCACAATAAAAAAAGAACACTTGATAAACTGATTTAGAGCAAACCTTTGTGGACAAAGGCCTCTTTTAATTTTTAAATCACAGAAATAGGCTAGCTCATTTGTAGATGGGGTAAAAACAATGTTGTTAAAATGTCTGTCAAATATATACAGGTTTATTTCAATAAATAATTCTAATGTTTATCATTACTTAAACACTTAATCAAATCAATACATACATTTAATTAAATAGATAAATATATGCAACCACTGTTACAAGACTCGAAAATACAATTGCTCAGTGAGCCAAATTATTATTGAGAAGAATGGACCATACTTTACCCAACACTGATTTCAACCTACCAGATGCAACACCAACACTACCCATGTTAAAAGGGGACATATAATTGCTGAAATGGACTATTTAAATTGTTGCATCCAAAAGGTTGGGTCTGTGCAGTTCCTGCTCTCCCATTAAGTGGGAAATTTAGCAACCACGTCTTCAACCTTTAGTTTTCTGCTTATTTTGTGCACTGTTGATGAAGTGCTGCTTACACGAATGAAAATATTTGTCTTTAAGGGTGCTTGGCTTTCTCTTTAGGCTACTTTCATTACCAAGCCACCGAATCACACTTGGCAATTAATATAACAGTGTGCATGACATCACCAAATACACATACACGAAAAAGGCACATTACTTAAGATTTACTTGGTTGAGACTCCACATACACAACTATTTGCATACAAACTTTAAAAAGTAAATGTTTCTGGTATATAGTTAGAATTTCCATATGAACGTGAGTTCTTTATAATGAGTGAGGTTGGTTCATGATATATAAGTCCCTTCACAAATAATTAATATCTACTGGTAAAAGGTGGATTTCGTTCAAGCAATAATGTGCCTTCTTAGAGAGACTGGGCGGGGCCGGGAGACCACCATGCTCCACCATCTTGAGTAGTACCCTGAGGTTGCATGAGGTACTCGCTGCTGATTGGTCCTTGGAGAACGGCACAGGGCGAAGGGGAGAAGCTCATCTCACTGCAGCCAGTCGTCCATAGACAAGGATACTGGCTGAACACATACATGTTGATATGAAATCGTGATATGAAATAGTAGGCGGAGCCTCACCTGGAGCTGTGAGAAGCCATTGTTGAAGGTGCGTGGCAGGTTGGGGGATGGGAAGCGGTGGAGCTCCACCCTTCGGATAACACCTGAACACCTTGACACATTGGTGAAAAAAACAGTCTTAACTGTAAAATGTCAAGCAAGTCCCAAGTTATGATGGCAAAAATCAACCAAGTCAAGCAGGGTCCCCACTAAATTTCAAGTCGTATAGAGAGAGAGAGAGAGAGGGAGAGAGAGAGAGAGAGAAAGAGAGAGAGAGAGAGAGAGAGAGAGAGAGAGAGAGAGAGAGAGAGAGAGAGAGATGCCTGATTTTTACTTCATGTACAGCACTTTGTATGCAGCTCTCACTGTTTTCAAAGTGCTCTGTAAATAAAGCTGAGTTGAAAAGGACAATGAATTGGACTGCAGCATTAAATCATGATAAAACGGTTTATTTTTTGTACATGATTAAATTAGGTTATTGCTCCGTTTTTAAAAAATGCTAAATTATATAGAGTGCTAGTTTCCCTTATGAAAAAGCTAACTTTTTTGTGGGCAGCGAGGCTGGAACGGATTAATGGCAATTCCATTTATCTCAATGGGGAAAAATAATTTGAGACAAGTGTTTTGTGTTACAAGCACGGTCACGGAACAAATTAAACATCCATTGCAAAGCATCACTGTATTGTTGTTACCAGAGGGATGAGAGCAGTGCGGCAGGTGCTGATAGGGAGAGTGTCGCCGGGCATAACCACGGTGCCTGTATCCGTGTTGATGGGATGCAAGCGAAAGGCTGTCCTCATAAGTAAAACCCTCGCCTCCACCTGGCGAACACAGAGACCAACCTGATGTGTTACGGCAGAAGTCACATTTCACCTTTGGTCCACACAAACTTGAATAACTTGAGAGACACCACACATGCTACAGTAGTGTGAGTGTGGTGTTGTTGTTCTTATAGTGTTTGTGTACTTGGGATGAGTAACACAATACAACACACATTTCAAATTTACTGTAAACCATTTATCTTTAAAGGTAATGTAAAATGAATTTGAAATGATAATACTGCTATTAGATCAGATTTTGTGATATAGTTACAGTTAAAAACTATTAATAGTGGTAATTATTAACACATTTGGGAGGTGGCAATTTTCTCACATTTTATTTACAGTGATTACTGTAAAAAGGAACAATCGACGATTGCCTGCCCCAAATCTCAAAATAACCTGGAACCTGTTCATGTGCCCCAAGCACACGGCTTAGCTATAATTGCCTCTGAAACAAGAAAAACAATGTACGAAATGTCAAACTGTAAAATATGTCATATGTTGAAACGAGAACTGCTCGAAAAGTGTTGTACTTTTGTTTGTGCTGTGATGGGCCAGTCTATGTTTCTGTGTGTCAAATATCAAGCCTCAAAAATTCATCAGTCGACCAGGATTGAATAAATAAAATGCAGTATAACATAGAGAATTTGATAGGACACAATTAAACAGACTAAAAATATATCAGTCGTGCTCTCCAATATTGTTTTGTGCACACTTTCACGCTGAAATTAGAAACTCACACGTTGGAATTCCAACATCACCCTCCCTTGGCTCTGCCAAGCCCCGCCCACCTGGGTTCCTGGGTTGAAGTTGAAGTTGAAGTTTATTGAACATACAATACAATAACAATTTGACAAAAGGCAAGCAAAAGTTACAAAAGGAAAAATAAAAAGTAAAAAGTAAGTAAAACAAACATCATCACCGTTATATGCTCAAAGGAGTAGGAAGAAGTATACAACTTATCTAGTCCTACCCCTTGTTGTGTAATAATATAAATAAATCATTTTTCAATGCAAAGGAAAAGGAAGAGATCTACATCTCATATATATATATATATATATACACATACACACACACACACATATACATACATATATACACATACATACACACACATATACATATACACCCACTTACATATATACATGTATATACATATAATTATTCATTCTCCTTTTTATATCAATTGTCTCATATTCATTGTAATTACTGCATTTCTTGAATACATTTAATGAGTTGATCAAAATCCAAAACAAGAACAGACCGTTATATTACTATATTTTATAAGTATATCGAATTTATCTTCTTAACTTTGATTTTTGTAGTTTGTTTGTACTAATCTTTTAAATTTGTTTTTGAACTCGTCCAGCAATTTACTCATTTTCAGATCCGTTTCAAGCTTATTCCACAGATTGACTCCTATTACTGATACACACCTTTGCTTGATGTTTGTTCTTGTTCTGGATTTTTTATATTCAGCAGAATGACAAAACAACTCTTGTTAAACATACAGTATGGCAAAATCCAACATAATCCTGGGTGGAAATGATAAAAGTTCAAAAGATGACAACACAGGACAACATCTTTGTTCACTCTCCTGTCTCACCTGTCTTTGATGTCCAGGAATGCTTTGGCAAAAGGATTATGTTTGATCTTCAGAGCTGTGATCTGGATAGAAAACAAATCGCATTTCGCCGTACATTGTCGGAGGGCTTATTAGTGACAGACTGAGCATACGTGTGAATTTTCCCCTCATGCTGATTTACAAAATTTGTGTGCAAATTGTGCATGTGGTACATAGAGCAGACATCAGCAAACACAAACATGTTAGCAGCTCTCAACATATTTTCACCTTTGTTTCAACAGACCATACCACATTTTCATAAATGCGTTTGCGAGAGAGTTTGTTTTGGTCCGAAGAAATGAAGGTTAATCTTTTCAGTCATAATTCAAAAAGGTGTTTTTGGTGCAAACACAACACTGTTCATGACCTAAATGTCAATTTCTTCATAATGTCTCCTCTTTCAGGTGACTTTGAAGAGGCCTTGAGGTTCCCGATGAGGTGTCACACTCACAATATACTGTACCTCTTCGTTCTGGTAGGCGGTGACCGCGATGAACTGAGTCTCTTTGAAGGAAACGTCGGTAACTAGACGACGTTGCAAGCCAACACACACAATGTACAGATGAGGCTCGTATTTATGAAGCGAGTTTAACATGATCTGGAAGACAAACACAAAAACACAGGGATTTGTACACCATGTATTCACAAACCCAAGCCTTTTTTTTTTGTCAAAACACATTTCATTGAATAAGCCCCAAATACGTGGTAAAGTGTTAAAAATGTCCAATTACCTATCATGGCCCTTCAGGACAACGCAAAAGAACAATTTTCTTTCTGAGAGGTTGGCTTCAAACAGTATGTACCTGGTTGTTGCTGCCGTTTGTGTGCGTGCACTTGTGTGTGTGTGTGTGTGTGTGTGTGTGTGTGTGTGTGTGTGTGTGTGTGTGTGTGTGTGTGTGTGGGTTCTCATGTAAACTGGAGTGAGTGCGGGCTCTCTGAATTTAGTTTACCTTCGCTCTCATCTCTCTTAGACATGATGGGTAAATGAATCCCCCAGTAAAAAAACATAATTACCATAATGCACAAATAAGATGAGCAATTATCCAATTACGGCCCAGTTTCAACACAGCATTACTGCCCTGTGTGTGGCTGTGTGTGTGTGTGTGTGTGTGTGTGTGTGTGTGTGTGTGTGTGTGTGAGAGAGGCCCCTGAGTGATGACTGGGAACTTGTACACAGGAAGTGCATTAAACCGCAGCCAACCAATTAAAATGTGTTTATTGTGTTCCCGTGGTTACGAGGGGGCACGCAGGTGGAGTGTATGAGAAGAGCCACTGAAGTGGATTCTTTCAAGTGGTGTGCTCTCTCCCACTCCAGCACAACAACAGAACACGACAAATACACACACACACACACACACACACACACACACACACACACACACACACACACACACACACACACACACACACACACACGTAGGAAGCAGACGTACATATTGCTAAACACATGAAGTGCAACTTTGCGCATTGCCACTATTTTCAGATACCTGTCCTTCTGTCTTGTGTTTGTTGTTTAGTTTGACCTTGTTAAAGGTCACCGCTGCCTTCATCCAATGAGCTCCAAAGTTGGGTGAGTCCGGGTGGATGTAGATTCCACCATGGTCCTGCCCCTCGCTGCGTCCCTCTGCCTCGGCGGCCGCCAGCCACTCTCCGCTGGCAAACTTCCAGCGGTAGCTGTCGGTCGGGATGAAGTCGAGCAGGAAGGAATACATTGAACCCGGGTCCAGACCTGACACGCTGACCTTCAGGACAGGAAACATGCGTCTAGGACAAGCACATGACAAACATTGTGTTGAATCTGAATGTTGCTCATACCATAGTTCCAACAGACTACTCGCAAAACTGTGTGTGTGTGTGTGTGTGTGTGTGTGTGTGTGTGTGTGTGTGAATTTTAAACACATTAGACCAAGACAACCCAGTTGTTCTGGGTTGTCTTGACATCTCATGATGTCAAAATGTGAACAGCATTAGCAAGTCAAGTGTTTGAACACCAAGTGAAGCATGAAATGCATTGGTCTATTCCTGTTCAGCTCCTTGTTAGACAACAATTTGTGCAAAAACTATTCAAACATTCAACAGGTGAACACGTGCATTCAAAAGTTTACAAGAGGTGAAATTAAGTTCACCAGTCGTACTTTTTTGGTTCATCCTGAAATTTCATCCGAAAGCCTCAACATTTTAGTGTATTTGTGAAGATATTTAATTACTGTTCAGGCAATGTTGAAATTAAATCACAACATTTACAACTCCCATTGAGGTTTTGTAAAAATAAGTTGAATGATGTCAATGTCATTCATAAAAACATAAATACATTTTTAAAAAATGGTCAACTGTGTAATCGACTTTAACTTGATGACAAGTAAGGAGCATGCAAGAGAGAAATTACTCATAATACTCTATTGTAGCTTTCTAGGGATATAGTGTACTCATTATTATCCCTCAAGGGGAAATTCAATTTAGACTTCGCTGCAGGCTTGTATATGGTGCTCAAGCCAAGGCAGCTTGATTTGGAAGATGGCGCATTTCATTCACAAGGAAACTCAGCATTCTTTATATAATTAAAAGCACAACATTTAAAAACAAGACATTTATAATCAAAGTACAGAAATTAAATATAACTATTTCCAAAAAAACGCAGCTCTGAAAGGCCCTTTGGCCCGAGATAACAAAATTGCCATATTTACTGGAACCAATTATTTTTGTTCAATCAACATCATTTCCGTCATTCAAGTCTTTTGATATCTGACAGGCATTCATTTGAGTTTGTCAGAATTGAGCCAACTGCTCATCCGCTGCGCGTACAAGCCCCCCTGCCTACCTCCTCCTGCTCCTAATCTCAGCTCTCATGCGGGGCTGAGCGCCAATCGTCCGGCCAAGCCGGTCCCTTTCTGGCGCATGGCATCAGGCAGACAGGGAATGACAACAGCATTTGTGCAATCCCTGACATTGTTTGGTGTAAAATTAACCACAACACTGAACATTATAGTGCCGCTGAAAACAATATGTGGCTATTCACCCAATGATTCCTCAAGACATACAAAGTGTAGGGGGGTGCCAAACTGCATGCATTTACTACAAAGAGCATTCACGAATGACTCAAAGTCTATATACATGTGCGCATGAAATCCGTGACAGACAGAGAATTTGAAGGCAATGTGATCCTTTTGTTATGAAAGAATAAAAAGCATGAGCAGAAATATATGGCAAAAAAATGGAAGGGTGCACTCACAATAAAGTGTTGAAACACAACCCACTGACCAACGACATTTCACATGTACGGCGTGGTAATATGTTTCAGCTTGGCGCAAAGACGGGCTCAGACAGGAGCAGGGGTTCTTTTCCACCCCGATCAGTTATGAGGGACCCACCGGGGCTGCTGCACTCCCAGCCTCCCGAGTCCGACACGGAGGGAAAACTACAATCCTCGGGAGCGGCGGGCAGTTGATTTACCGGTATTTTTTTTTTAATATTCGGAATATTCACGTCGGCGTAACAGTGATTTCCATAACGTTTGGCAGCTCTGCGTTTTACCAAATAAACGACCATTTGCAGTTTTGTAAATTCTTTCAACTTAAGTTACTATTTAGCCCAAGAAAATACACTTTTTTTTTTTTTTTTATTACAGTGATGTTAATTTTATCGTCTTCCATCGAATGGAAGAGCATATAATGGTTCTTCCTGCCACTGTACAGTAGATCAGATGAACAAAAATACGTTCCAAGTAAATCAATAATTTTTGGACCAACTAAGTGAAATTCCCGTGGCACACCTGAAGATTTCTCACTGTGAACTGATGCAGTTGGAAATCACTGCTATCGAGCTTTTTATTCTTCCAATAGCTTGACTCATGCAAATGCTCAGATTTTAGAAGGCAACTCACCGGCCGCTTTTGGTGACTATCATTTCGTTGGTGATGTGCTGGAACTTCCTCCACAGCTCGGCGTCCTCCAGTGTGACCTGTAGCCTACTTTCTGTGGGGTCACCCTTCTCCCGTCCGGCCTGAAGCTCATCCTCCACTGCGGTCAGCAGCCGCGATATGCAGTGCTTCGATGAGGTTTCCCCATCGTCCTGTTGCTCCTCCACCTTCATCTGCATGACACAATCGCAGGAGGTCACAATGCCGCCGATAAGCTTTTATGCACATTCCATAGGTAAAGCTGTATCTTTGGGCATTCTACGAGCTAACTGTTCCTTTTAGGATTCCTTACATTTTTACAGGGCCTTCAATGGCCAGATTGATTTGGTGTCTTTTTATTACTGTCCATTAGACCGGCTAGTGATAAAACCCTTTTGAGCTAAAAGTTGCATTTTCAAGGCACATTTAAAACAAACAAACACATGCAGCAGGTATTCCAAGACTACATTATGATTTTATTTGATTTGTTTTTCTTGTATTAACTGTAAAATGTATTGTACATAAAGTACATCTGACTGTATAGTGACCATGGGAAGCACTTTGTGAGTCATCGCTGAAGAATGTTATCTACAGTTGAATAAAATGGACTAACTATTTAGATGCCTGCTGTTAATCATGATGGCCATTGGAACATAATACACTTTTATGGTTAAACAGACCATTACAATACAGTGTATCGAATTTCCTGCAGTAATGGGGCTACTTTATGCCTCTCGTGAGCTGGTCTGAAGCTGGCTCGTTTGCCAGGTTTGCTCACCAATTTTCTCTCAAAGTGACCTTCAGAATATCTGAATTGTGTGTGCTTTATTAACCTACTAGTCAAGTTTGGGCAGATTTTGCATGAGAAAGTGTGTACAAACTTTTGACTGGCGGTGTAGTATATACAGTATAATATAATTTTAATAATCTTGGAACCCCATCCTCCCCAGTTCCAAAATATCTTCTGCGCCCCAATTGTGTACACAATACTGGATATTCACTCAATAGACAGCATAAGCAACCCAATACGAACTGAACGTGTGACATTCAACTCATTTAATGATACCGATGGCAGTAAACACCTAAAGTATGCAGAAATGCACGTAAATGATGACTACACTTGAAGAAATTGGGAGTTCAAAAAAATTTCTAAAATTCCTGCAAAATTTAGCCAGCCAGTAAAAGTCAGACTTACCTGAGTGCAGAAAAAACTCCCAAGTGAGACGGACATTCAAAATGATGAGCGCTAACAAGTGTTTGGGTGGAGATGTGAACGAGTGCAGAGAGCGACGGAACACAATCGGACAGACAAAGCTCCTCCCTCGCCACTCTTACCCGAACTGGCGAGCTGCAAACACACAACGCACCAACAATTACATTGAATTACTTTTGAATAAGAACACATCCATGTGGCTCAGTGAAGAAAATTCACATTCCAGAAGAGACTAAAAAATGAGAATTTGTCCTCTTACTTTCATGCCAGTGCCACTTGTTTAGATGGTCCAACAGGATGAAAAAGACGACTTCTTCTGGAGAATGAGATTTGCTTTTCCTTTTCTAAAAGGCAAGCACCGACGGCACGGGCACATCAACATTTAAATGTCAGCCGAGAACATTGAAGGCAACCACGCACAAGTTAGCGGAAGCGTGAAACGGACAAGAGGTCAAAAATCTGGAAAGCCACGACACCTGATATGTGCATGTGTGTGATGTGTGTGTGATTTAATCAGCAGGGAGATTTAGCAGCTTTAGCCCTTCGTCGGGCATAAAGAGAGCGTGAACTAGGGCGGCAGGTAAACATGGACAGGTCACACATCATTTGACTGAATAAATTGAGCAACTTCACCATCTCGGTTAAAATTTCAGCAGGAAATGCTGCTGGTTTGTTTATTTATTTATTTGTTTGTTTGTTGAGAGGAGGCACTTGTCACATATTTACCTCATTGACAATTCACATTTTAACCATGTTGAGTGTTTCATGACTTCTTTGGGGTCATTAAAAAAAAAATGTTCTTAAAATAGACTTCGATAAATATTCCCAAAAATGAAATGGACACTTTGTTCTGAAATATCTGGACATTCAGAAGCAGAATGAGAATGAATCCCGCACCGACCGTCAAGTAGATTATACAAAGCTAGTCATTATGCCCCTTTACAGTACATGCAAAAAAATGGCACTTTGAGATGAGAATTCTGTCCTACCACGATACACTGAATACAGGTTGACCCTGTATGTTCTTTAATAAATGAACAATTACGTAACTGATAACAAAGAAGCATACTAGATAAAACATGTAAAAACCTGCTGTGAAATGTAAAAACATTTGTAGAATAAATAATAGATCATTGAAAAGGAAAAAAAGTGGGCATATTATTTGAAAAAAAAAAAAAGACATTTCATGCTGAAAACAGGCAGACAAGTAACACAGAGGATATACAGACAGAATTTTTCCCCTTTGGAAAGCACACCTGACAGCTGGCCTGAAGACTTGCAGCATCCTGAATGGGCACTCGGATATTTTAGAAACAGATGGAACACAATTTGATGATGCCGTCCCTGAAATACAAAACAACAACACATTTCACTTTTTATGTTTCAGATTGCTTATGACTTGATACAGTGTGCATGTGGATACATGTTTGAATTACCTGGCAAATGGGATGTAAGACAGGCCATACCTGCAGTAAAAAGCACAATTTTCATTCAATTGCTCTTATTTCCATTTGTGTGTGTTTTAGTGTCCACATATGCAATGATGTGGGACTTGGGGGTGGCTATATA